GCATTGCTAACATCCAACTGCTTCATGGTCCATCCAAAACTTACAACAAGAGTGAGTAGTATCCTTATAGTAGTTGGTTTTACCACAGGACTAAAAGTCTCTTTAAAATCAAAACCAGCTGTTTGGGAATAGCCTTGTGCAACTAGCCTTGTCTTGTACTTACTGATGTTGTTATTAGGATTCTTCTTGAGTTTGAAAACCCATCTGCTTCCTACTATATTACAACCAACAGGTGCAGGAACTAAATTCCAGGTTTTGTTCTGAAGCAAGGCTGAGAATTCCTCTTTCATGGCAGCATACCAGCATGGATTCTGAAGAGCTTCAACAATGGACTGTGGTTCTTGTGGTTGAAGTGTTGAGCTATAAGCCTTTGGTTTAAAGATGCCCATTTTTGACCTGGTAACCATAGGATGAAAAGATTGATTAGTACCACCAATATTATGCACAGGAGTATGATGTTGATAAGGTCTATTTTCCAATAAAGGCAGCTCAACATACAAGGGTATGGTGGAATTAGAGTGAGTGCTTTTTGAGCCAGAAGCAGATTGACTAGGGGATGTCTGAGGTGTTGAGGAGATGGAATGAGGTGATTGTTGATTACTGTGGAACGATGGAGTTGGTGTCTGATGATAGATGTGAGAGAAATCAATAACACAACGGGCAGCATTTGAGGTTGAGTGAGTGGAAGAAATGTGATCATTGGATGGCACATGAAGTTTTTGCTTATATGGAAAAATGTTTTCATTGAAAGTAATATCTCTGGTAATAATGATTTTGCCATTTGGCAGAAGGACCTTGTAGCCCTTGTGGTGAGGACTGTAGCCAACAAAAGTGCCATGAGTGGATCTAAACTCAAGTTTATTTTTGTTATAGGGTCTAATGAGAGGATAACATAGACATCCAAAGGCTTTAAGCATGTGAAGATTTGGTTTGTGACCATAAAGGATTTCCAAAAGTGATTTGTGATGGAGAAGTTTGGTAGGAACACGGTTTATCAAGTAACAAGATGTTACAAATGCATCATCCCAGAAAACCATGGGAAGAGAAGACTGAGCAAGTAAAGACAACCCCATCTCAACTAATTGTCTGTGTTTTCTCTCAGCCAAGCCATTTTACTGAGGAGTATGAGGGCAAGACAGTTTTTGATGAATTCCATTATCAAGAAAGAACTTACTCAAGGCTCTAAAACCCCCTCCCCAGTCAGTTTAAACAGATTTAATCCTACTATTGAGTTGGTTTTCAGTAAGTTTCTTAAAATGAAGAAAAGCATTGTAAGTGTCAGACTTGTTTTTAAGGAGATAGAGCCAAGTGAATCTGCTATGATGATCAGTAAAGGTAACATAATATAGATAACCATTTCTGGATTTAACAGGAGAGGGACCCCACAAATCTGAGTGAACAAGTTCAAGAGGAGCAGAATATAAAGTCTCATATTGAGTACAAAGAAGTCTGTGAGCTTTGGCCAATAAACAAGAAGAACGAGGATCATTAATAACATTCATCTCAAAAGGAATATTACAATCTTTTAAAAGCTATTATTACAATGTCATATGAGGAATGTCCTAATCTTTTGTGCCACAGATCAAGGCCACATTTCTTGGAATGAAAAACAGTTGAAATTGCATGGATGCCAGGTTGAAAGTTGTTTGAGTGGTTTAAGGTTGTACTGGACTGAGGATCTTTGTGACTGGTAAGGTGAAATTGATAGAGACCTCCTTTAAGAGTTCCCTTGAGAAGAACTTGGTGAGTAACCTGGTCCTTAACAAGACAAGAGTTAGGATGAAATTCAAAAAACACATTATTATCAGTGGCAAATTCAGAGACACTAAGAAGATGTTTGGTGATAGAAGGAACATGAAGGAGTTTACTCAGTTTAAAGATTTTAGAGGACTGAGTAGATGTAAGTTGAGCTGAACCAATATGAAAGATAGACTCACCAACACCATTTCCCATGTGAAGTCTGTTCAGCCCTTGATATTCTGCTGCATTTGAGAGGTTGCTTAAGTCATTGGAGATGTGATTTGTAGCTCCTGATTTTGGATACCACAGAGACTCCATATTGCTTTCTGAGGAGATGCTAGGTGAAGGTGGTGGCAGTTGAGCCAAATGAAGAGCTGGATTCCTGTTGGGATTTGTAAAGCCACTGCCTTGATTTTGAGAAGATGAGGTGTTTTGCTGGTTTGATGGCACAAAATTGGAATCATATCTATACCAGCACCTATCAGCAGTGTGTCCTGTGACCCAGCATACTTGGCAAACAGCTTTTCCTCCTTGAAAACGGCCTCATCTTCCCCTAAAACCTCCACTAGATCTGTCTTTACATCTAAAGCCACCTCTTCCTCTTCCTTGATTGTTGTTATTATTCCAGTTTCCTCTTTGATTTCCTTGAGTGGCTAAGTTGAGAGAGGGTTGAGAGCCATCAGTGTTGACATTGTTGCTGTTGTTAGGAGTGGTGGTAGCCTCAAGTCTAGACTCATAGCTAAGGAGGAGAGCTTGCACATCCATTACAGACCAAGTATTAATTCTTGAAGTGACAGTGATCATCACAGGATCATATTCACTGCCTAAATCTGAGACAATTTGCAAGATTTGATCTTTTTCACTGACTTTTGCTCCCACAGATGCTAGCATGTCGAAACACCTCTTCATTTTGTTAAAAAACTCCCTCATGCTCAAGTTACCTTTCCTCATTGTTTGAAGTTGCAGTTTGAACTGCATTTGCTTGGCTAAGGATTGACTTGTGAAGTTGGTGGACAGAGCATTCCAGATTTCTTGAGAGGTTTAAAGCCCCACCATTTAAACAAGAAGGATTTGTGAAAGAGAAGACAACAGCCATGAAGCAAGAATTTGGTCTTGCCTCTGGTAAGTAATGTACTCAGGATTAATCACTTGAGACCCCTGCTGATGTATGAACTGAGGTGGTTCTTGTCCACCAATTAGATAATGCTCAAGACCATAGCCTCTAATAGTGATTAGGGCTTGTTGTTTCCAGATGAGATAATTGTCTTCATCAAGCTTTGTGGTTAAGAGTTGATTCTGGGGATAAATGACTTGAAGGGCTGTGTTTGGAGTTTGTCCCCTGGTGCCAGACATGCTTGAGCTTGTATCCGACATCCTAGGAGCTTGATAATGAAGAGGTGGGGTAATCAGCTGCAGGCTAAGCCTGCTCTGATACCATGAAAGAAAACAAGTGGTTTAAAGAAGACGAAGGCAAGAAAAACTATGATCTCTATTACTGATGTTTTTGAACATTTTTCACATAATATCAAGCTTCGGAATATCTCACATATTTATATGTGTAAAACCTAGTCTAAGATGGATAAGAATTGGCTAGTACCAAAAATAATCCTAGCCCTACACATCTCTATCTAATGCTGTCAAGATCAAAGGCTGTGATGGAACATGGTACATCATTTCTGCAGGTAGCTGTTGAGTTTGTCTTATGCATAACAAACTCTGTCCCAGGTGCACAGCTAGCATGTGTTGCAGCTTCCTTCTCTTGTGGACTGATAAGTTGGGCCACCATGCAGTTGGGCTGTGAGCAAGATATACCTGCATTGGGCTTAGAATGGACAAGGCCTTCTTTGGGCTGTGCATGGCTGGATTGGACGTGTGCATGGGCTGACTGAAGAGTATCTCCAACATCAAGAAACAATAAAATATATCATTGTTTTGCGGATGTCGTTGTTGCATTCTCTTATAAGATGTGGTGACACTTTAAAGAGAGAAAGTCACTTTGGGTCCAGTATCTTCGTCGGAAGTACTGCCCTGAAGATGCTGACCACTCCTGTAGGTAACGCCCACCGCCAGCGATAGCAGGCAATGGAGGCAACTCACCATGGTTGGTAGAAAAACGAAAGAAAATCTATTACCCAATCATCAAAATCATCAACGTATAAAGAGAAATGAATTGATGCATTTGTATTATATATTTATTTTTTTATTTACGTTTTTTTTTTT